TTCAAGAAGGAAGAGCACTTAAAATACCCGTGTGTGAGCTGTGCAAATACAAGCTGTGATGGATGAGTTGAGGGGCAGCAGGAGAAGGCCTGGCTGGGCCCTTGGCTCCTGCCGTGCGGCTGCGGGCCAGCCGGGGTCGAAGATTCCAGCCCACTGGCCCCAACGACTTGTTCTCCTGGAACAAAGCCCATCTCCTCTAACACAGCTTTTTCCCAGGAATTGGCCCATACGGAATAAAATAAATAAATCGCAAGCGTTTTGTGAAGGGGAAAAAAAAAGTTCCTGCTGTACATAACTCGAGGGAGCAGATGTTTTTCCATTAGCTCACTGTTCTCTGCTACACTGACTCTCTTTACATTTCTTGTTCATGGCATGTTCATGGCAATATTTTTTTTCTAGGGTAGACTTTAGCACGTTACTGAGACAGCAAGTAGCCCACTCCAGCCCCACTGTAAGTACATGGAATAGTTATCCTAGCCATTTTTCTTTAAATGCTCCTTTAAATTAGCCTTAGGTCTACCTGGTGAGGTTTGCAGACTGTGCTTAGCAGGCATTTAGCCAAACTTAGATCAAATTACCAGGCCTACTTTGCTGTGAGTGGCCATATTTGGTAAAGTATTGGGTTAGTCAAGAAGCTAAATTGTCAGATATAAAGTACTAGTAAAGACAAACAAAGTGGACATTGTAGTTAAAAGTAACGTTTAAAATAATATAGCAACAGGAGCTGGAATATTAGAACTCTCATTAAAACTGGTTTGCAGCATTCTAAAATGCTCCCTATAAATACAGCATACAGTTATTACCGCCTGGAAATACAATCACACATACTTCAGGTAAGAAATCACTCCAGATACCCAAAGACCTTAAAACTATTAAAAACTATTTCTTTTCAGTACTGACATGCTTTGCTCTCTGGGTCAAAAGTGATCTTATAAAAATGTTGAATGAAGGTAAATTTTAGTCATAAATTTGAACCATTTCAAGTACATTTTCCCTAGTCAAACAGTATGACTATTTTCTAAACAGAAAGGAGGAGTACTGGCATGATTTTAAAAGGGAAATAAGGGGTGGAAATAGTTCCTAGGTCAGACATTTCTCTTGGTAACACAAGCAGTATTATCACCAGTAATCTCTAGGATTTCCCTTGCATCTCTTCCTGCCACAAGAGGTAGAAGGAGTTAACAAGCTTTACCAACACCACGGAAGTTCCTTCTCTCAAAGTTGAATTCAAGCTCTCAGTCACTAAAAGTAGAACAAAGAGGAGAAATGAGTATATGGATCGCATAAAGACCACCTCTCCTGGAGCTGCACCACCGCAGCAAGTGCACTGCAGCACCCTTCCTGAGTACTCCCTGAAATGAGCTGTTTCTCAGACTTGAGCCTAAGAATAATGTTTAGGCTTATTAATGTTAAAGCCTAATGAGATGACTCTCTCCTTTTAAGAAGCCATTACATTTCAAGAGGACTAGGGGGGTTATTGTTAAAAGGGACCAGACAAGCTGTCTTTGCTGCAGAACACTTGAAAACAGAGTACGTCTATTGGTATTCCAAGCATGCCTGCTGCAAGGAGTGGACAATCGCTCTAATCTTTGGGGACAGCAGACCTTGTACTCTTCCAAAGTTAATTGTGACTACCTGCAGGGAAAACAGGAAGATATGGAAGTCCACTGAAGAAATGTGCTAAGTTCCCTGCTGCAGATGACTGTACTCCCAGCTAGTCCTATAAGAGATGGCTGGACGTAAGATTAACAGTGAGATTTCACAGCTTTATTTGGATGTACGAAAGAGAAGTGGACTCTTTCTAGAGACCACAGATCCATCAAGGAGCTCTTTGGTTCCTTACAAGAAACTACAAAAAATTAGCTTGCCAAAGTTCACTAGGCATTGCTGCAGGGAAAGACAAGGTGCAGCATCCTTTATAGTGCAGCACATTTGATCTTAGCAACTATACCTCCGAAGTTGCTACTTTATGATCTTCCCTACATAACTGTGCTGGTCATAAACCCAGAAAAGTTACAGATAAAAGCACTAAGTCTATGCCCGCTTAGACAAGATAAGTATCTTTTTCACAGCACAAAAGAGATTAACTATTTGCACAGGGTTCACAGCCTCTCCTTCAGCCACTGTTAAAGGAATGCACATATTCTCATGTGCTCAGAGACCCGTTAGGAGTGCAACAAGGGTTCTCCAGCTCCAAGGGACTGAGGATGCTTCTGCACAAAGCAGGAACTCCTATTGCAGCTGCAGTTGGAGGATGATACAGTAGGGATTGCAAGCACCCTCTGATAGCTACCACCCACTAACAGTCCCTTTTGCAAGCATATGTGCTGGTTTTGTGGCCTGGCCTGGTTGCCGGAGGGCTGCAAGAATAGCCTCACATAGCTGTGGGATAGCTGGTTTTGCACACCTCTTTCCAATCTAAGTTCAGAAAGCTCTAACCGGACCAGTCGGTTGGTACCATTAGTTTTCATGCCTTGGGATATGAAGAGGCACAGGAACTGTAATGGCTCTAATGGAACCCAAACACGATTGCAGCCTGGTGCTCTAAATCCATACCCACACACTGAGACACGGCCAGCTGCATCCTGTTAGTGTCTGAAAAGGATAGATGCTTTGTTATAAATTTACTGTCGTATGAGATTAGCAAATCGTAATAATTTTATGTAAAGATTTATGATTCATGCTAAAAAGGTTAAAGTGTTAATGACAACAAAAACAACAATGCACGAGTCATTTCCCAAAGGCAGATTAACATTTTTTGCCTTTAGAGATAGGAAACTGAGGTATGAAAAAGTTGCCTAGAGTCACAAGATGAGTCATTGACTGAAAAAGGACAAGTCCAAGATAAACCTGATAGAAATCTACAGCATACTGGTGCAGCTCTTTCATGAATATTAAGGGACTCTGGATGCAGGCATTGGAATGTTAGGCTAATCGCCTGTTGCTTTCCTCAGTTGTTAATTTTGGGGTGAGCTGTAATGCAAAAAGCACGTGACTACCTCAACTGTTTTTAACCACACATTTCTGTTTAATTTGTTGTTTATGAAATATCTCTATTTTGGAAGTTATTAACTTCTTACAAGTATACCTGCTCCTCCTTTCCCCTCCTTCCAGGTGGGAAAGATTCTAGCACAGAGGGGTTAGTGATACTCTTTTGGACTAGTCCACTCACTAAGCCCAACATTAGATCTGACCCACTTCAAACAAGTCATCTAATTACTCAGGTGCTGTGTGTTCCTCCACAGAGAGTAAACCTACCCCAAAATACCTGCATCTTTCCTCATCCCTCAGGATACCAGAATGCAGCTACTTCCACACTACTGTGAGAAGAGAATGGGCAGTACCTCACCAAGAGCTCATTAGGCTGCATCCGTAACAATAGCTGACCTCACTAATGAAACTGCAAAGCAGTCACAGCATATATTTTCAGAGTATCAATCCTGATTTAAGTCCAGTTAAAAGTAAGCATGAAACAAAGCAAAGATTAAAAAAATGATAGGACAGAAAAGTTATAGCTTAAAAAAATGAATTCTATCTAAAAGAATTAATTAACATCTTTGAGAAAGGCACTCGATTTACACTGAAAAGTAACCGTAGCAATTCACAGCTAGGTCACAGCTAGCACTATGTCTTTATTGCTTTTGTCTTTTCACACAGCAGCAAAAATGTAAACTGCCTAGAGCTATCTGCAGGATGATGGACAACAGACCTCTGACTTATCATCACAATAAACTCTGTTGTTTTTTTTTTCTCCCCACCAGCCTCCTCTGCAGCCTTAAATCAGGAGCATAAACTGCATAAAGCAAAATCTTGCTAGTGAATTTGAAGCCCACAGCACATAACTGAAATTTACATACACACAAACCATTAAGTGAACACGTGATTAACTTAAAGGATGATGCGTTCCATAAGGTAACTTCTTTTGTTCTTTAATAGTTAAATTGTAACAAAAAGAATGTCACATATTTTGTACTAGAACTGAAGTCTAATTGGTAGGAAATGGCCCACAAAAACAGCTATAAAAATCTTTGCTGAGAAGTAGGGTGAGACTGCCAGGTTTTATGTGAGAATTGTCAATTGTACAGATCAGCTAAATGAGAATTTGAAAGGTTCTCCTGCATGCAGAATAGCAAATTATCAGCAAGGTTCCAGTGGACTCTGCTTTTTTTTTTTTCTTCATTGCAAACGGTATCAGAGACATCTAAGAAGCAATCACAGTACTCAAATTAATTTCAGCCACACAGCTGTGGGCCCAGTTGTGGAAGAAAAGCTGTGTCTCAAGGGCAAAACTGCAGGGTCAGAACTCTTTCTATCAGTCCTGAAATGTTGGAATGCAAATGGCAGAATGTGCTGGGCAACTCCATTCCTCACCAAGTGTCCTACATAAAACCCTTTCATGAGTTTGGAGATTGCCTCTGGGTAGAGTTCCTTCTCACTGTTCTCTATTCCCTTCATGTGCTCTGCTGTAGTATCTCTCTGCATGACTGTCTCAAACTGACATGCAACCTACAAGTCCTTGGGAGATTCAGCAAGGAAAAAATGAGTGGAGGACTTGCGTTTTTTAATGATTTTCACTTAAATGTCAGCAACAATTGGAAAATTCCCAGTCTAAATAACATTTAATACATGGTTTGCCCAGTCTTATTACAGGGAAGCACATAGGAAAAGGAGAATGAAAATAATTGTCCCTACCAACCACCATTTGTTAACGAAAAACTACCTACCCTCTTCTTCTTTTAAAAGTGTATTTTAGTGATGAGTGAAGTTTTCTGTGTGTTATGGAAAAATAGAGGTGAACTGAAAAATTGCACTACTCCAGTATTTTTTTTGTTATACGGCATCAAGTAAGTGGTATTTCAAAAACTGGCTGGGATAGACAGGCAGATTTTCTGCTGGAATAAGGTGATTTTCAACTACTGATTTCAACTACTCTGTTAATACATATGTAATCTCATTCACCACTGGAGGGAAAAAGGAACTCCAGGTGGTCCAGCACTTACCAGCTTGCAGCCAAATTTGTTCAAGAGCTGTCCACAGTTGCATAGGTCCTTGCTTCATTGCGCTGCTCTGCATGGTTATTTCAGACATGGCCTGTTCCAGTCTTGATGCAGCAAGAGAAGAGGCTCGCTGTGATCCTATGGACCAAACAAGAACAATAATGCATTTTATACTTCTTTGGGATATTTCTTTAACTCATTAAGGCAGCAGGTCTGATTCTCCACTCACTGCATCAGTTTTATGTAATAAGAACTCCTCTGAATTCTGGCATGACCAACTGGAGAACCATGTTTTATAAAAGGTTAATTTACTGAAAAAAACCACACTAAATTACCCAAGGGTTACAGCTCAAACAAGCAAATTAAGAGACAGACAGTAATTTTATGAAGGTCTGCTTAACATTCATCAAGGAAGCAACTGTATTTTACTCATTTGGAAAGCAGAACTCTACCATCAAATATTTCCCACAAATACTTATTAGTAACCCACTAATGTAAAATCTTAGTACAGCATTACAGAGTAGCTTGGCACCATTCACACAGCACACACATTTCAAGCGACATCAATAAGGTTCTACTGGTTTGGAAGTAGCATGGTTTTTCATTTAACCTTGGGGAGCAGAGAGATCGGTGCTTTGACTATATTAACCTTTAGCATGCACTGTAACAGTTATGCAAGAATAAAGTATTTGGCACCCACATCTCTGGGACAAAACATGACATCAAAAGCTACTCCCAGGAAGAATGCATGGGCAGAGACCACGTTCTCCAGTACAGTAAGTGGGATTATACTGGTGAGCCGACCTCTCAGAGGGGTACCAAGAGGATGGTAACAAAATTAGAAGCTACAAAATGAGATTTCAGAGTTGGCTTTGTAAAGCTTTGGGAAATAAATATTTTAATATACATAGGTTTAATGTGACTTTAAGGTTGATAAGATCTTTCTCTGGAGAGCTGCTGTGACTGAAGCACTTGCACCGATTAGCATTACTCTTCAATCTATCCTTACAGGCTGACCTTGTAGACCACAAGATCTTGAAGTTAAAATCCTACTTTCTCTCACCGCAGCTGCCCTGAGGGAGCAGCAGAGCCTACAAACAGGTATGTGGAGAAGCTGTGGATGGCTCTGGACAAGGGAAGGGACAGAAGGGCTAAAAACCTGTCATGGGACATAAGCATTAAGTGGTCTTTCTGAGAGGGACAGCATGCTTTCCCAGCTGGAGTGTAGCGTGCCAAAGAGAGGGTTGCCAAACCACACCTCCTCACCAGCAGACCATCACCCGGGGCCAGGGCACCGGCAGGCAGAGCAGCCTGGTCCCCTGGCCATGGTCCTCTGGCCCGTGCTCCTCTGAACGCTGAGCAGGGATCCAGCCTTCTGCCAGGAGCAAGGGGAGGCACATTTCCACCCCTCGCTCCTTCGCAAGAGACCTGTGCTGACTCCCTGACACAGGGCAGGATACAGCCCACAGCTTTTGCCGAACCCGAGGCAGCGCTGCCTGCCCCTGAGTGCCATGGCTATGGAAAGGCCGCAAGTGCAACTCAAAGCCTAAAACTGTTATGGGAAATATTTGTCCCATTATCTCACCGCTAACCAATGTCATTCATTTTAAGCAGGAGAACGTCAAAACAGCCCTGCAGTGCAGGCACCTCCCACGGCTCCCTTGGAAAATGCAAATGTGCTCTTCCTAGATGCATTTCTTAAATTCCTACATACTTTCAAAGACATTCCTGATCTAATGTTCCAAGAGATGACAGTGCAGTAATGTAGCAATTACGGCTTTAATGGTATGGTAAAAGCCATTCTGCTTTGCGCAGAGAATTTATTATATTTAACAGTTTATTTAACAGATCCACCTTCAGCCTGTTTCATTGCACGGGATTCCTCCCCCTGCCTTGCCCACTCACACTCTTCTCTCCCCATTCCCACCTCCAACCCTGAGACATTTCACCAAAACTCCCAGGAATTCAAGTCAGACAAGGGTGGTTTAACACGGGGAGAACTACCAGGCACTCACCCCTAGCCGTCCAAAACATAGATAGGTTCTTTGCAGCGCAGAGGCAACAAGAAAATGGCTACGTGAACAGCTAGCGATGTTAGTAGAAGCACTTTGAAGTGAGGGCAAACCGCTTGCCTTCTAGATTGGCAAACTTGGAAAAAATTACATGGGCTTTGGGGATTTTGCAGTCAGCCTAACCAGATTCTTATATTAATACTCCTGATCATGTTAGCATGCTTCGAAAGCAACTTTCAGTATTACATTTCTCTGCCAAGACTGCCCTGTTTCAGAGAGGCTTTCTGGAGCTGTGTTTCTTGCAAGCACCCATATATAATGCCGGTCTGATTGCATTAGGTGGGCAGATGGGCTGGTGTTTTATTCACATCCTCATACAGCTCAGGGAAATCCTCTTTTCCTTGCAAGTCAATCCAAGGAGACTACATCACTGTAAGGCACCTTTGTGCATTTTGGAGATGTTCACACGCTGCTGTGAGGCCGAACAGCCACTTAAGATCTACTAAAGCATCCTTCCGTCACAAGGCAGGCTTTACAGGAAAATCACTATGAGCTAGCTGCACTCAAAGGAACACGAGTTAGCTGCTCCTCCTCTCCACCTCTTCATCAGCCTGGTAGTTGCCAGGAGGGGAAAGCCTGCAATTTGAGACTGATCTTGCCCAATGCTGTGGGCTCCAATCTGCACAGCCATAAAAAGGGAACCCTAGTTACTTTGCAGTTTACAGCGGAGGCTCTTTGCATTTAACAGCATTCCAGTCCTTTGATGTTTATTTTCTTTTCCATTTCAGCCTACACAAGGAAGCAAACCACACCAGGCAGAGACCATCTGATCCCTTCCCATCCCTTCCCAGCCTCAGACAGAGATACGCTCCTTGTTCTAGGCAGGCACATGCTGGATGAAAAGGCTCTCTCCATCCCAGCCCATACCTGCATGTTTGCCACTGCCATTCTTACCCATTTCTGCTGGACCGCTCACAGGAATGCTCCTCGAAGCTTGTCTGCCCAAATAAACTCTGTAAGAGAAGGTCTTTGCCAGCCTGGCCCTTCTGGACTGAAAGAGGTTCAGCCAGAGCTCTGAACCTCAAGCAGGCAATATGGTGACCCTGGGGGTGGGCTGAAGGCTACTGGAGCCAGAAAAGAGTGTATCTCTAACACACGCTGTCTCCCAAGAGAGGAGGTAGGCATGTATCATACCCCTGTCACTCTGACCTCAGGGTGGCGGGGCAAGCCAGATAAACTTCAAGCAACATTAAAAAAAAGTCTCTGGATGTCTCACTATAAAATATCTCTTCCTAAAGAAATGTAGATCTTTATATGCTAAAAAACCCTACAGAACCTGTCTCGCAGAACTTTAATGTCATGCCTCAAAATACATGCAAATGTTGGCATAAGAAGATATCACATCAATTTGTTATTTTAGTGCAGTCTCTTCCTCTTTTTAACAGCTCCACTAGACAGAATATGAACTTCACATTTTACAATAAAGCCCTCCACACATTTTGGAAATAAATCATAAAAATAACAAAATTGATTTTGTCGTGATGAGCTCTGTGTATAAGCCATACAAAATATATCTAAATAATTTTAAAGCACCATTCTAGGGTTGTTATAAGACCAAGAAGGATCAAGTTTAATATTTTGCATCTGTGAAAAAAACTCCTATCAAAATAGAAATGTACCTCAGTAGATTTACTAGGCTTATAAGAAACACAGAATTCCCTAGCCTAAATCACTTCAGGCAAGAGCATTATAAGATAAGACTAAATCAGAAAAAAAAATGAAACAGCGAGGCAGCTGACTGCTATCAGTGAATTCAGTTAGGAACACTGCTTCAGTTAGGAGAAGATGAAGAAAATAAAGAGGAATTAATCTTCCTGGCAGGAAACCTAAAATTCTGGCATAGCAAATAATCTCATTGTGGCCTAACTGAAGGAGAGGCCAGTGTCAAACCAGGCCGCAGTAATCCCCGCTTCAGTGATGAGCCCAGAGATCACAGAGCGCCTGTGCATCACAGCGATACTGCTGAGTGTTCCTGGGGGATTTCACGATCGAAATCAGAGCCTGCTTCAGAATTATGTAAAAAAAAATAAAAAAAAAAAATCATGAGACCTCCTCCCTCCTTCAAAGCAGCCAGCCACAGCCACAGCTCTGGGGAGGCACAAGGGTGAGCGGGGGCTAGAGCTGTACTCTCCAACCTCACCTCCTGCTGTCCTCAAAGAGGCTCCCAACCGGGAGAACAGACCCAGCTGCCTCCTTTATGCCGATGGAGAACAGCAGCACCCAGAGCCTGCAGAGCAGCGAAACACAGACCCTTCCTAAAAGCAGCCAGTGCCAGTCCCACACTAAGGCGGATGGTGCAATTTCAGTACGAGCCCCATCCTTACGTCCATTGTGGGCGCAACCATGTTAGCATGGAAACCTAGATTCTTGAAGTGGAGGAGGAATACATTTCTTGGCTAAAACCAAAATGCATCAAGTGCAAATCACTTGATGTGCGTGAAAAGCTGTTTTAAAGCTTGTACTTTACATTAATTTGCTCTTTCTGGCAGGCAGTACCACAGCATACAGCACTTTCTGCCGAACTACAGCTGTTCCATTGCATGCTGGCTGCTAGAACTGGGCTAAGAGTAGGCTGGAACAGGTATCCCACCCAGGTGCTTTTTGAGGAGGGCACTATATGTAGTGAGAGAGAGCAAACGTGCGTGAGCTTTGCTGTGACTCTGGAGCAGGTGCTGCATGTCTGCAGCAGAGGAGTGAGGTCTTAGAAGGGTGGGACACCAGCACATCAAAATAATACAGGCTCTGCTGGTGACAACTCGGTCTCAAAATCTCAAACCATGCTATGAGGTGGGTGTAGCCCAAACCTGGCCACACTCCTTTCTCCAGACAATTACAAAGCAAGGGAAGGGATCTCCAGAAGAACATGGGATCCGCACCCAGAATGCCTTTCACATACCATTAAGCACCAGCTAGAGTTGAAGGTGCAGGGAGCAGTCCAGGCTCAGCCCCACAGTCTACGCACCACAAGCCACTCACTACTTGAGCAGCAGAGTGGGAATTGGATGAATAACAAAAGTGCTGTGGCAAATATTTTTTTGTTTTTACTGCTTTCCTAGTAATGCCTAGTGGCTGGCGGATTCTGCAAACTACCTACAGTGTTTTCCAAACCATTTTCTTATATCCACTGAAATTGAAAGTCCATTTTACTCCCCAGCATCAGGGATGATAGAATCATAGAATAGAATCATAGAATCATTATGGTTGGAAGAGACCTCCAAGGTCCTAATGTCCAACCATATACCTGATGCCACCATGCCCTCTAAACCCACTAAACCATGTCTTGAAGTGCCACATCTAAACGTTTTTTGAACACCTCCAGGGATGTATTTCACAAATCTTCACAATAATCTTCAAGTGATGACAATCCTAAATGATTTTGTATCACCAGGAAACTTTCATGTCACATCCACTCCCTTTTCCAGATAATTTTTAATATGCCAAACAGCACATATTCATTTAGTATATCCTCTTCACCTCTCTATGCTGAATTTGGTCTGTTTGCTTTAATTAAGCTGAAGACTATAGAACACTGCCATATAAACAATTAGAAAAAAGGACCTATACAAAATACAAAGACTCATCTCAGCAAAGGGTAATAAAAGGGAAATGGAATAAACAGATTAAAAATTACACAAATATGTGTGCATAGAATCAGTCAGATTACAACGTCATAAATACAGACCCTAAGGGTTTAACGCTACAAACAAAAGAGCAGAAATGCTGAATAATGTTCTGATGTTTGAATGTTTGTATGCTCAAGACCTAACCTTGCAATGCTTTTTAACCACTGGTGGGTATAAATGGGGGTTAAACACAAATAATTTAATGCAAGTCATGTACTTAACACATAAGAACTTTTCCTCCATCTCAGCCATACATACTGAGCATGTGACTTCAGTTTTAGCAATTCCAAATGTTCATGATGAAGACTCAGACAAACCCTAATTCTTTAGCCCCAAGGCATGAGACTACTTTAAGTGTTAAGTTTTTTTTTAATTAAGCTTTTTATATTCTTCTTGTCCAATTTCTGAGTCTATGAGGTTCATTTTTTTCAAGTCTTTCTTCTACATCCACAATGGTAGAAAGTTGCTTCCCTAAAAAACCCTCCAAGTTAAAAAGCAAGTTTCTCACATAATCATCTGATTTTGAGAGTTAGGGTTTTAAAGGAAGCACCAAATATCATGAGACTTATGATAAAAATCACAAGTCAGCAGCACTCTCTGAATGCTTCCTTTCCCCTTCCTGCCAAGATTAGCTTTGATGTCTCAGTTATTTCCATCTGACTATATCTGTTACTGTGAATGTGTATTTACCACATAATAAAGCATCACAAGGTTTATGTACAAATCCCAAAGCAAATCACTCTCTAATAGGAACTGACACTCTCACTCAGCTTTCCAAAACCACAATAATAGCTGGCTTGATCAGGACATCTAAAAAGGATTGAACTGGGGTGGGTGGGGGAGAAGCAGAGGACAAGAAGGAGGAAAAAAAAGAAGGATTGAATTATACAGTTCTTGCAGAAGTATAGTGAACTCCCATCTCATACCTTTCATGCTTCTCTCAGAGAGCTTTGTAAAAGAAAGCAGGAATTAATCTCTGTTTTATGCATGGGGAAGCCAAGGTACAGACAAATCCCAGTGACATATTCTGCAGCAGACACGGCCCTGGAGACAAATCTGGACCTCCTGACCGCCAGCCCAGCAACACGCGCATGCACAGCCCCACTTTCACCGAAGAAAATAAAACATTCCTTTCTCACAAAAGCATGCATTTAGGATGAGAAAGCACAAATCTTGTTTCCTCACCAGAATCGGTATCATGAGCATCCGGGAGTGTGAGATGCAGTCCGTTATGCTTTTTGATCACTGGTGTTTCAGTCACACTACTTCCTTTCTCAGAGCCACTGTAAAGAAACAAAACCATGTTACCTGGCCATCTTTCAACAGAAAGACAACATTCCCTTCGAAACATGCAATAGTCTCATCTAGCTGCCACTGGAACTGAAAACTCAAACCTTTCCAGTTGCAGGCAATCAGCTTCTTGAATGTGTCCCTTCCCTGCCAAGGGAAGCTCAGAGATACAGTGCCCAGCAAGGGCTCCAGGGCACACGTCCCTATCAGTTTATCTGGCTGATGGGAGTCTTTGCAAACCACCGGATGATGAACGTTTTGAGAGCTAGAAGCCAGACCAGAGGAGGCCAACCAGCAGCCCCACGCCCAGGAAGAACCACCATCCCTTGGGCTTGTTCACAGGTCTGCGGTGCTGATCCTTTTGAAACAGACCAATTACCACCTTCCACCCAGGTGTTAATTTCTTCATTTCAAAGGGGTTATTTTCTCCTGTTCCACTTTTGTTTTGTTCTGAGCAGGAAGATGAAAGCTACCACATAGCAACCCGTTATGAAAGGAGGACTATCCCGTGTGCTCTTCTACTAGACTTCTGTCCTCACAGGAGAGGTCTTCCAAAGGGAAACTCCAAAAACAATAATCATGCGCCTAACAAAAAATCACTTAATGCAGATCTCCTGAGCCTTCCTGTCACCACGTAGTCTGCCATCCATGTAGGATCAGATGGTGATGATATTTCCTCTCATCATCCATTAAGGGACGAAATATCAAAACGAAAAGTAACTGCCCTGGCCAGTTTTTCTGGCATACTTCCAAGCCTGCAGCTCAGCCTTTGGACAATGTTCCTCCCAGGAAACAAGCTGTCACAGAGTCGTGATTGTGGCGGATGGCCCATCTTCCAGTCTGATCAGTCCTTTGGTAGGGATTGCACAGGATTCCCTTGAATTTGCATTAATCTAGCAGAAGAATTAGCTTGGGACTGCTATTTGGTTTTAAACATGATTATTCTGCTATCACAGAAAACAACAACAAAAGATAAACCAAGTCTTGTCCTTCCCAGCTAACAATCTAGGACTGAAAGCCACTTACTGTCATTCATCATAGTAGTAATCATATTTACAATAGCTAATTAACCTTTTACTTCGGCTTTGGGATCAAACATTATGGTTTCTATTAATGGACTCTGACTTCTTGGTCATTTGACTGTTTGCACAAATCTCTGGCTTTGACTGGGCCTCTGTCTTCCATACTGGTTTCCACACTGACACTCCAGTCAAGACTATCATGTGGTGGCAGATAAAAGGGAAAAATTAAATTCTCTGTTCTGTGCCTCAGCCTTGCCTAGCCAGGATTAACCCAAGCGTAAGCGCCCTGGCTCTGGGCTGCTGGTGGAACCATAGGGGCATTTCTGTCTTACTGGTGCGTTGCGTAGGCAGGAACACGGCAGCTGCACTTCAAAATACTACTCCCATGAGGTGAGTGGTGCTTTGATGCAGCAGCCATCACCATGAAGTCACTGTTCAGGCACACAGCTGAACACTGGCTTATACATTATACTCCTATGCAAAGGACTGGTAAAGACACCGGTGGATGGCCTAAGTTTGGTCCCACTAAAAACTGACCACAGGAGAGCAGCATTCAGAGAAGGCTTGAAGAGAAGGCCTCAGTTAACAAAATGCACCTTAGTGCAGCCAACAGTACAGCCTTTTAACTGGCAAACCAGACTGAAATCCCAGCCTGAAAACCAAGTGGATTGCATTGTGCAAAACAGCCGCTCCCAATGGCTGTATCTGTTATCCTGGAGAAGGGCTGAAAATGAACTCCTCCTTCAAAGCTGCAGTACAAGGCCTTCAGCCAAGAAAGCTTTTCCACGCACCACGGAAGGGACTGTAGCCAGACGATTTGCCTTCTGCATACAGCGCTGGAAAAGCTGACAGTGGGACACGCTGCCACCCCACTACTCGTGTTTTTAAAAGGTAGTTGAGACAGTGGACAAAACAGTGACAAAAACTGCTGAAGGAAACACTTGATTGTGAGAGACTGCAGAGGCACCAGTTTATCAGAGAGAAGACAAGAGGGGATTTGAGCATGGCATATGAACAGCTGCCTGGGGGGAAAATATTGGGCCCTGAAAGACTCTTTAGTCTAGCAGAGGCATAGTAAGGCTGCAAAGCCATGAAACTTAGGCCAGACAAACACAACCAAACGTAACTAAAATGCAATTTAATTGTGTAGATGATTAGCTGCTGATTGAACTAGTAAAGAGTATTGGGTGCAACAGCTCTCAACTTTATGTAAATGCAGGCTTCTCTTTTCCAAGAGGCTCTAAAAAATGTCTGTGTCCAAGTCCTACTGATAAGAATTCCCCTTAAATTCCTTTGCAAGCCCAACCCAGAATATTTTACATATTTGTTAGCTGATACTGCTGCAATTTGCTTAATACAAGGGGCTTCCTGGGTCACTGAATCCAGTCTAAAACTGCAGGTACCGAGTTCATTCTTGTTACCCTTCAAGCAGTACTTCCCAATAGAAAATGCTTTATGATGTATTTTTTGAGAAAGCCAAAAAGTCCCACTGGGAATAGCAGTGAAAAACACATTAGAGTTCCTAAAAGCAAAACCAAAGCAATTTGTTCTGTTTAGGCTGCTATGGCTAAAGCTTACCAAAAGCCTCTAAAGCTATCGCATCTTGGGTTTTTAACTGTAACAGCCAAAGCACAGCTTGGGATCCGAATGCAGTCCAAATGGCTGAACTATTTATTTGTCTGTTTTCCAATGTCCTCTCTTCAGTCTCAGGCTTGCAGCCCACCCTTGCACGAGTAAATCTTACTCAGTCAAAATTGTTCAGTGTGGATTTGATCAGCTTCATGAGGACTACTCATGGTTATAAAGATTATTCACGTGAGTGGTGTGTGACCGAATCTTTAGCTAAAGAGACTAAGGCCTATGGAAATCAATGATTCCGGCCTGTAAGAGACCATTTCTCCGCTGCTATGTAAATACCTTGATTTTTGTGTTTGGTCTGCTGCTCATTAGGTAAACCAACAAGGAATTACTAATAATCCCTCAAGGAGAACTTGTATATAGACATGCATCATTCTGTACATATACTTCTGGTGTTTATAAAGCTTATGTAAATGCATACAGAAATTGGGGAACAATATAAGCTTCATCAGTCTGCTGTCATGACTGTTGCCATCAAGCATGCTGTCCTTCTCATCAAACAAAACCTCTAAGGACATTACAGGTGAGAGGTAAGTACAGCCTTGGGATAACATTCCCAAGACAGTTGTACAGTGGATCATGACTAGGACAATATCCAAAGGGTGGGGGAAGAAAGAAAACCCAACCTGGTAACTTTCACATTTTCTAAACTTTTTCTTTCTGAAGGGAAGCAGATGAGAGGGAGGGAACAAACTGGGAACCTAGTACTGTTTAAATGCAGATTTACTAGGACAAGGGAAGAGATAAAGATACTCCATCCTTTACTCCTTTCCTTGCCCAGTCAGCACCAGGCTGTGCAACCAGCACACAACCACAGCACATGACAGTCTTGGCCGTGTGCCTTTCCTTGGCTTACTCAGTTCAGGACTGTGTCACCCCCACACATTCCTGGGTGGTGCCAACTACTGCAGACTCTGAACAATAGCTGATAGATGCTCAGCACTATTGGGGGAAAAAAAAAATACATCTGCCCTCCCTTCTGGACATCTGCTTCTTTAATCTTAAAATCCTGAGGTTTTGTTTTGCTGCTGTGTTTTGGTTGGTTGTTTTTTTTTAAAGTCATAGTTATTGAAATCTTGCCTTTTGTTTTTTAATCACAGCTAAAAATACTACTTAAATGTCTTTTTAAACAGGACTGTTTATTACCCTTTTTGCAAAATAATTTAAGTATCTAGACACTTAAAGAACATAAACTGCATCTCCATTATGAAATCTGAACTCGTTAGTGAAAACAACCTACCTGTGCTGTAAAACATTATATACCATCTGCCATATCTGCAACATATGTCTGCATGTCACCAGAGCCTCTTCAGGTCCTTTATGTACCCATTCCAGTTTTACTTTGGTGAAGAGTAAGCTGCAAGATGAAAAAGAATAACTTCTGTTTTATTGGCATCTCATAAATGTGGAGAACCAGTATCGTTCTAGCAAGATCCTGGCAGCCAGCATTTTTACTTGCTTTGTATGTGTAGCAATAAAAGAAAACACTGTAGCACAAAACATTTCATTTGGCTCAACTTTGATTCCCCACAAGGAGATGAGAGGATTAACAATATTTCTCAGCTGTAGTCAAATTTGCGTCACAAAGCTGGCAGGACAGTGTTAAAAGCAATGCATTGCAAAGCTAACAAGGTGAAACATACAGTGAATCTCATTGTATTTTGGACAGCACTAAAATCAGAATTAAAAGGAATTGCCATTATACATATGCCAGACTGTTTTCTTAGTCTGGTATCTTCTTATAGCACTGGCTTATATAATAAATTTCAGACAAAAACCCCAACGCACTTAATATACACAGATAATTATGCAATGCCTCACAGGAAGGAAACGCTTTTTCTTAACCCCAGCTGGCGACCATCCCATGCCCCTAGGCAAGACAGCTGATAGCCCTTGTACATTCTTGTTCTAGGCAGTGTAACTGCTGCTACTATTCTTATACCTAGAGAATACGTACTTGCACAGACCACTGGAATTCAGCAGAATTAGGTCAAGCAGAGGTTAGAAGACAGATTCGGCAATGACACAACCTACCACTTGCTGTTAGCACGGCTTTTAACACCATCCTTCACAACACCTTTTTTTTTTTTTTTAATTGTCAAGATGATTGAATTTATTTCTTCTTTACTAATGTAAATTTACTTCTCTGCTTTAAATGTTTTCATAAAGTCTAAGATCTACACATTTTGAATTAGCTCGATATGGCTACCGATTAATCCACTGGATGCACATATATGTACATACACGCATACAACAATAACAGCTGCATGTCAAAAATCCTAAAACCAGTTTTGCCAATGTGACCTGCAGGCTCCTGGGGAACCCAAGCAACTTCAGAAAGAGACAACAGCAACCGCATACATGATGTTAGAGAAGACTTTGCAGCTGAGTAAAAGATCCTTCATCTGCAATAATTAGAAATTTGCAGCCAAGATTCTGTGGTGTATATCTACAGTAATGTGCTAAAATGGCAGTCCCATTCTCCACTGACAAAACAGGTTTTTCTCT